TTTTTTGTAAGGTTTTCAGTTGACCTTTTAAAGAACAAACCTTTCTCGTGGGTTGTTGACAGTGAATTTTCAATAATCAGGTTCACATTCCAACCGCTGCTCAAAGATCTGCAAACTGTGAAAGACTAATAGTGATGAAATAGCATAGAAAAATAGAGCATCGTTTTGTCTGTAATTGCATAAAAAAAGAAAATTTCTTCAAGCTTTCTATAAGGAAATAAAGTGATAGCGTCATTACTTTTGGTATGTTCTAAGTGGTTCAGTCAAAAAGAATTATGCAACACCCCGGATTCTTGAGAAAATGATTTCTGAAAAACACGGTTGTCTGGAGAACCTATCTTCTTCACTATCCAATCCGGAAATCTTTTAACCGTCCCATTGCATAGCCCGTTCAGTTGTCTAGAAAATCAGATGGTATAGGCAAGTTTCTACCATGTTTTAGCAAAAAATACCGTAGAAAATACGATGCGAAAATTCAGCATAAAAGTAAAATATTTCGATGAATTTATGCCAATTATGTTGCAAAGCCTGTAACTCGGCCGTCCAACGTCGTAGAAACTTGGCTATTATGGGTGTCACTTTACTGTTCTTTATCAATTGATAAGTTATAAAACGTATTAGTTATTATCTGGAAACAAGTAATAAATATTATTACTCGGCCAGTTCACATAAGGATAGACTTTTATGTCAAAGTTGAAGTGCAAATGTGGCTAAAGATAATACTACTATGTGTAGAGGATAGTCAACAATGTATAAAAGTACGTTCATCTATCGTCGTTTTGCGTTCATTCTTTAGAGAAAAAAGGTTTCTAAACAGATGGTGCCTTGAACCGTAAAAGAACAGCGCACTGATGAGTTTTTCCATTTTTATTCGGAGCCAAAGTTGGTTGTTTCTGTGTTCCATTTGTGACTCGGATTGAAAATAGAACATAAACTTATTTTTTACGTAAAAGAAATTTCTGTGCTCAGATGACTGAGTCATCTGAGTTTGTAAACGTGGTATTCTGAACACGTGATTCCGCACGAAATTTCTCCGCAGTTTTATTTTTGGCACACTTGTGATCTTTGAGAAAGATCAAGTCACCTTTCTAGTAACAGTTTGTCACGCTCTATCTAATGCAAGAATTTGTTTTGACTCAAATATTTTTTGTTAAAATAAAACAGCGTGGCACAATTACACATCATCGAACAAGTTTATTTTTACGAAAAAACGGACTTCTTTCTTTTCTCATTTTTCGTCTTTTTAAGTTGTTCTGAATTAATTAGGTGCAGTTTAAATTGTTTCTCTTAATTGTGCACAACAAATCTCGCCTTTTCTCACTTGTTCCCGACTCCCGCTATGATTTATAGTTCAGATAACTATTCTAGATATTATCTTTCACGAGTATTCATGCCTTTTAGTGTCGCCGAAAGAAGTCGAAGATATCGAGAGCGTTTGAAACAAAAAAATTGAACAAACGTAGGCGATTGCGAAAGTTTCATCAAAAAGTCTGAACAAACGTAGGCGATTGCGAAAGTTTCATCAAAAACTCTGGAAAACTCTAAAAGAACTCGAGAAAACCTTCAAATACCGCAGTTTGATGGAACGTTGTTGAGGACGCCAAACGATAGCCCATTCAATTCTGAGTTGAATGAGGTGTTCGGCAGCCTAGACGTTTTGATGAAACTATCAGTTAGTTAACTTTGTGGTAACTATTTTTTAAGTATGACAGAAATATCGAAGCATCGGCTTAAAAAGGCTTCCAAAATCGTTAGTTTTCCACTAAAACTGTTGAAACTTTCATAAATGACATGGTTTTGTAGTCTAATTTCGTTGATGAAAACAAAAAGATTTCTCAAGCTGGCTGTGAGACCATGCTGAGGTCTCCAGAGACATTAAAAACTGCAGTTACAAAACATTGAAGTTATATAATTTCGATTAGTTTAGTTGACTGGCACGTGTGTGCCAATCAAAACCATGTCATTTATGAAAGTTTCAACAGTTTTAGTGGAAAACTAACGATTTTGGAAGCCATTTTAAGCCGCTGCCTGGATATTTCTGCCATACTTAAAAAAAAGTTACCACAAAGTTAACTAACTGATAGTTACCGTTACAACGGTATTGTGTGCGGCTAACTGTGTTTTCAGTTAGCGTTGTCGATAATGGCCGAAGAAGTAACAGTAACTTTTACAGTCCTATATACACGCCTATTGCATGAATTGTGGCTAATTGTGTGAAAGAATTGAAAAATGGCAGGCCGAAAACCATGTTTTCACTGTTTTTTCATACGGAGATACTCATTACATGTTTTGATTGAGATATTACGCACTTTACGAACAAATAAAAAATTGAAAACACACGGTCATTTTCGTGATTCCACCACGATCTCTATTTCTTAATTAAAATCGAAGCTGTGTAACAAAACTAAACGATATTTTTAGGTATTGTAGAGCACATGGTTGCACACATGTAGAAAAACTGTCCACTCTTCGTCTTTTAAAATGATTGAGAAAAATCAAATTTAAAATGAAAAAACGTGATTCCACCACGGTTGGATAGGCCGTACTTTTACTTTTTTCAAGTAATCATTTTTTATTACTTTACTTACTACTAATAAGAAGAAAAGTAATAAAAAATAATAAGTAAAACGATGAAAAATTATTACATAAAGAAGCCATAAGTAATAAAACAACAAGATTAGCTGATTTACCAAAAATTTTCAAAGTCTAAGCATATCTCAGTCAGTAAATATTAGCCTTGATCTTGAGTTTAATTCTCAATTGTTGATTATAAGAGATAGAAATGGATAAGTCACGATGGGAAAAGCAATCGGGTCATGATTAACTTAGACCCTGCGTACTCGCGTCGTGAATTCGACATTTAATCGCGGTAAGAATAGCGCGGACTCACAGTTGGAACCCGGCCGACCATTAACGGTCGACTTGATCCCATTGAACTTTTCAACCGGCCGATTTTCACCGATCTTTTACCGACTTAGCAATCAAAAAGAAATTCATACACTTATCATTTTTTATCGTGAAAATTCTAAAAATATAAACAAGACAGACTTTTTACTTTCGGATAATAACGCCTACAATATCGAGATGAACTTCAGAGAAAGTCAAGCTATATGCATTCAACAAGTAATGGGCTATATACGTGCATTTAAGGTAGATAGTAATTAGTTACGGTTTATTCATTGTTCTTTGTTTTTCTTTACTTTCTTCAACCTGTTCTATTGTTGTGCATTGCATATTCTTACAATGAGCAAGTGTTGTCAAAACGAAGCTGATCGGGATGATGTCAAACTTTTCTGTAACCGATCCGCAAGTCGATAGTATCGACTCGATACACTTCGACGCTTGGTGTCGATAAATGTCTCCACTTTTACTACTCAAAAGAGCTCAAAAAGACGGTTACCAAGGACGCGCGTTTGTTTCAGTGCCGTAGATCACTAAAAATTAAAAAAAATAAAACTACTTTTAGAAAAAGGTCAAACTTTTTCTACCGGTTTTTAACAATTTACAAAAAAGTTTTAATTAGTCGTTAACGGCCTGTCCCTCAATCAGCCGATCCGACTGATTGTTTTTCAAACGGTTCCAACTCTGGCGCGAGTTAGCGAACGAAAATCGCGGGTAAGTAGAATATCGCAATCGCGAAAAATTGCGTCTTGTTTCGCAAGTTTTAACAGTAGAGATGTGCACGGATACCATTTTCGTACCCGTACTCGACCCGAAAATTTTTGTCCACCCGCACCCGGCCTAACCCGAGAGCTTTGTATTCGTACCCTCACCCTTACCCGAGTTATGCCTAAAAATGTTCTCTTTTACGTTTTGCAGCTAAAAACTTCTGTTTTTCGGCTGGAGATGACAAATTATCATTACGTTCTTAAGTAACTGTTTTTTAAAACTTCATGTATTTTAGCTAAAATCTTATTTCTCCACTAAAATCTTCCGGTTTTCGGGTAAATTAAAAAAAACAGAACCCGTACCCAACCTTCGGATAGGATCGGGTTGCACATCTCTATTTTACAGTGAAAGCGTTACGCGATCTCGAAGCGAATCAAGAGAAAAAATTTGCATCACGATGGCGATGGCGACAAGAAAGTTAACTTGGGAAGAATAATTGTGGTTGAAATAATCTATTTTTATCAGTTTGTCTTTACCATGTTACTGAGAAGGTGTGAAATCGTCATACCATAAGGTCAAAGACACCTTCACTGGTGGAGTAACCAGCATATGAGAAAGTCTATATCCACACATGATTCGAAGTTACTGGCTATCATGCGTACTTTGTAATTCAAAGATTAAAATACTTTTAGCGAGTACTGTGTAACTTGGCTTCCAAATCTTGATTGATGTTTCTATATGTTTGATTGAAGATGTCATCTGGTATATTGTGTTCTCGCTTGAAATGGTTTCTCGTTTTCTGTTCTGGCTTAATTTTGCTATCTCAAACGTTGTGTGCCGTTTCATACAAAGGGTAAGTTAACTATAATATCAATTAACAGCAGGCAGCAAGATGAAGCACGAAACCACGAGCTTATTACTTCTGAGTCCATTTGTAACAAAATAAATCTATATTTACCATTTAGACACGAAGTTGTACGTGTTATACCAAAACATAATGGACATCTGCAACTCATACGGGATTTGGAAGATAATTACGGAGTAAGTTCAAAAATGGATGATGATGACCATAAATGTTACACTCTAATTAAACACAGGATAATCAGGGAATAGAGCTTATAGGTTGATCGTTGGTCCGAAGTATTGAGACCACATCAAGAAGTAAGAATGAGTTTATCACAAGACAAAACAAATGAAACCAAGCAATTATTAAAATCAAACAACATGGATTTTACGATTATGTCTGACGATGTTGAAAAGTAAGGAGTTTGTATATAACATAATAATTTGCATTAATTTGAACTAACTTTTTATCAATCAAAGATTAATAAAGAAATCGAATGATATCTCAAAAGCATACAGCACCCAACGTTCAAAACGAGATATCAATGCACCACACTATTCACGATATCTACGGTATCATGAGGTGCGTTTTAGTGATAACACTCTTTTCTGTGACAATAATTATTTTTGCTTGTTTACTGAAGATAATTGAATTTTTGAATGAACAAAACAGTCGAACAAATATAACTTCATTAATATCAATTGGAAAGAGTAGTGAAAATCGATCAATAATTGCGATAAAGGTATGTTGAAACAACTATCTAACTACCATATTTATCGTTTGATATTCATTTCGCCGCATTTTAACTATTCTTATAGATTGGACAAAAATCTGCTCACAGAAATATTCTGATGGATTGTGGTATTCATGCAAGAGAATTTATCTCACCATCAACATGTATTTATATGATTGAAAAAGTAATTTTATTAGTTTCCTCTTCAACTAAGATAGCCGGAAAAAATTGGAAAATAAATTTGGATAGTTGAAAACATGTTCTATCAGGAAACGTGGATAAGTCATATTCAGATAATTTTCATAGAGTTAAGATTTATGAAAAATCCCAATTCTTTAAAATCAAATCCTAGATTCTGATCGAAAACTATTTGAAACCAACTCGTCGTGTAGAGCAGAATTTTTGGAGAAAAATGAGACGTCTTCTAGCTTTCCACGATTGTTCTACACAAAACTATATCCATGAAGTGACTCCAACGATAATTTATTGCTGTTTTTATCGATTTCTCATGTTTTTGACAGTATGGAGCCGAGCTTTTGAAATACCCACATAGTGTTTTGTGTAGAACATCAATTTTAACTCTATGAAAATTATCTGAATACGACTTTCCACGTTTCCTGATAGAACATGTTTTCAACTAGCCAAATTTATTTTTCTAATTTTTTCCAGTTATCTTAGTTGGCGATAAAAATCAAAATTAGTTTACTATTTAAATTTTTGGCCAGTACTTTATATATATATTTCAATTTAATATAATTTTATTGTTGCTAAATTAGTTTATAGGAGATGCGATATTATTGGGCAACAATTCATTATTATCGATTTTTAATATCTACATGATTCCATTGTTAAATCCAGACGGTTATGAATATGCACAAACAGAAGTAGATGATCACCGTGTCTAAAATACATTATTTATACGAGTTTAAATATGTTTTTATTTTTAGAGACGTATGTGGAGAAAAAATCGTTCACCAAATATCGAATCACATTATAATTGCAAGGGTGTTGATCTGAATCGAAATTTTGGATACCATTGGATGGGTATGTTTAACAATATTTGCATTTATCATTCTATTTTTTTTAACTCTACTTTTAAGAGAATGGTGCATCTCAAAATCCCTGTTCCGAAACTTATGCAGGACCATATGCCGATAGTGAACCAGAAACACAAGGTTTAGAAAATTTTATTAGAACAAAATCTTGGCATGCTTATTTAACATTTCATTCATACGGACAATACTGGATATATCCATGGGGTTTTGCACGACGTGTACCGTTTGATCATCAAGAACTTGTAAATAAATTAAATATTTCTATTGAGATAAAATTAAATTAATTAGAAAAAAAACAATCGGATGGCATTGATAGGATATGTTTTGAACTATTATCCATTTGAAAATAGAATACCATCGGTTGTTTTTTGAATAACTTTCGAGCGAATAGAGCTAGAGAGTTCGGGTTTTCACTTTTTATGTAGAAAAATCTTTGCTCTATCTTATGATCTATGGGAGCGTGACAATCTCGAATTTCCAGGTGGTGTATCTGACATGTGGAAAAAGAAGAGGTTGCCAGGTACCGAAGATAAAGTAATTTATTCACTCAAAGTACATGGTTGAATAGTTCAAAGTGTCCTCTACAAAACCGCACAACTCCGAGGTTGCTACCTATCAGTCTTTCGGATCGACGGTAATTTTGCTTGGACCTATCCATCTCAGTCCAATTAGGTCTGACAACTTTACAACTATCTCCAAACATAGGTTATCGACTAAGCTAAATGTCATGGCGGTGTTAGTTTTGAAAATAAAATGCAATTTTCATCAAACATTAAAAAATTCATAACTCGGTTAAAAACCATCCAAACTACTTCAGAATATCCACATATACTCTATCTTATCCACTCAGTGTGATTCTGTACTTAACACCATTAAAAACTATTCTCTTGGTTCCTATGTTATTTTTTAATTCAATGTTATTTTTCAGAACAAAATGCAAGAACTGAGTGAAAACCTATACTAGATGAAATAATCCATTTTTGACTATTTCCATCAAACATAAAAAAATTCATAGGTTGTCCAAAAACCATCCAAAGTACTAATATCAACATACACTCTACTTTATCTGTAGTGTACTGTAAGCTTGTGTTTTAAAA